TATTCATTGTGCAGGTTAGAAGAGATAGAAGGTTATGTGCATATCTGGCACCCCCCAAATGGAAAATACTCTCTGAATAACAATCAGCTTATATAGAATCTGATCTATAAGGAAGAGGAAGATGAGTGGTAGCTGGTTAAAGGTGCACACTGTATAAACATTTTCTATAGCCTGCAAATGAATCAGCTACAAATATATCAGCCCTTCAATTCTCAGACACAAAGTAAAACATAAAAAAAAAAGCTAAGCGTATATTTTCAGATGTAATATTTTTACATTGTTGGTTAGATTTAGTTAAAAAAATTTAATTAAATAAAATGAATTTCCTAATAAAACGATTTCACACACTTGCAGCACGATGGCATCTGTGCCCTGTGCATGGAAAAACAAGTCATATGCCTCACAGTGCCTCTCTCGCCTGTGAACCAGTGTCCGTTGGGGAAATCGACCTCCCTGGGCACAGTTGTGCTGGAGTGAGTAATGAGGCAAGCTTTCCACGATGGTTGATAGAGGCTCCCATTAACAGCCATGCTTCAGGGTATTTCTCTGTCTCTGTGTTGTGGAATGGAAATGAGATCTGATAGAACCATGTATAATTTGTTGTCACATCAAAGTGACACTTATTAGCTTTATTTCCTTATCATTGTTACATCTATAGTACCTCTGGGTAAATATTTCGGTGGATCAGATGAAGACTAGCATGCTTTTGTTATGTGCCTTTAACTGTAGCAGCATAACTTTCATTGATTGCAGTTCAGTAACAACTGGCTATAGAAACATGTTTTATATTGACGAGCTTTCAAATTGAATACCATGAAAATGGTTTGTACCATGAATAGATTTCCTGAATGTTTATATCCAGCACCTCTGTTGGGTCTTAGGAAATTCTTTGGGCATTTTAATTCTCATTCCTGCGTGTGTCAGTTCTTTTCATTGCCAAGGTTGATAATCTTATTAGTGATATCATCCTCCATTATGCAAAAGTTTTTGGTGCTACACTGGTTTTTGATCAATTTTATTCATCAGTTGTCATTCTCACATAGACACAAGCAAGCGCACACATTTCTCCATTAATCTCACAGCTATCCTGAAGTGGATTATTTTGAATTTATCCAACAGCCCTCTTCATATCTTTGTGACTTTGAATTGGGATATTGCTGGATGGACCACTATCACAGCAGAATTATTTTCCCAACTCCAACAGAGAACTGAGCATTGAAGGGCTATATTTTACCATTGCATCTATAGATGTGCGGCATTATAACTCATGAGTGGCACCTCATTTCACACAGCCTAATGGCTTGACACTGAGAGCACACTGGGGATCCAGGCACGGGAGCTTCCCTTCATTTTTTGGTCTAGGTTTTATGAGATACAAGGATTAGGGTTGATTGAAAGTCACAGTGAGCTGCAGCACATCGCTGCAGTCCATGGAAGGTTTTACATTAAACTTTCTTCATTGATGACTTAATTCTAATAATGATATACAGGCAGCCCATGCTATATCACTTTGATTTTTGTATTTTATGTTTTTACTAATTCTGCAAGCTCAATTTGCTGGGCTGAATAAAAACCTGACAAGTCAAAGATAAGTTCAGATGCGGGTCGTTCTACTTTCCCCCAAAAAATCCCTCCATACTGCCGCAGCCTTGTGATAGTTAACTGAATTAGACAGAGGGAAACAGACACTGAGGCAAAGTCTACTCTTCAGTGAACTTATCTTACCCGCCTGAATGTGACAGACAGCGTAGCCCTCCAGCATAGTTGTCATACACCGGCGACCAGTCAGAACTCGTCAGGTTGCATGATTGTATAATTGTGTTGTGACACCTTGAACCCGCTGGTGGTATATAACCATGTTAATTTTCTGATAGCACACCGTAGGGCCGTTAGAATCAGAGTTATGATGGGTGTAATTTGTGCCTCCAACGGCAGAGTGAAAGGAGCGGGTCATCAGCAGGATAAATACAAATTAAAATTGATGCAGGTCTCATTTCTGCATGACCAGTTTGTGTTGGGAGGCTGCAGAGAGCTAAAAATGGTGCACTTGCCATTTGTGCCATTTGGTCTTCCATTTCAATTCAGGGCCTGAAGGCAAAAAAGCTCCACATAAAATGGACCTGTAAATTTTATAGTTCACAAACCAGAGTTATGCCTCTATGAAGATGCTTCTCACATCAGATTCTAACCTTTAATTTACTTTGGCAAAAAAAACAAACAAACCCAAAACAAAATAAAAGCAAAAACAAAAAAACTGTATTGAGAGGAAAACAGAACTCAGGCTAGATTTGATTAATTTTTTCTCTTTCCTTTGGAAGATTGGGCATTGGACACTTTAAATGGAAAGGTAGTGATTTGTGAAACAATGTATGAGTGACAGCTTCATTTTGATTTCTGTATTAGCTGTTTCTTGCTGTCTCTGGGTGCATGAGCGTGTATATGTATTGGTGTGTGTGTTTGTGTGTGCGTGTGTGCTAAGCCCAGCAGAGCCAAAGAGGTATCCTCCTGAACTCCTGTCACAGCTTCTGTGCCTGGGAGTTCAAGAGCTCTTCATTACAGCCTCT